CTCCCTCGGTGTCCCCTCAATGTCCCCTCATTGCTCCCTCAATGTGCCCCCAGTGTCCCCTCAGAGTCTCCTCAGTGCCCCTCCCAGTTTCCCTTCGGTGAGCCCTCAGTGTCCCCTCAATGTCCCCTCAATGTCCCCTCAGTGTCCCCTCGGTGCCCCCCCACAGTGTCCCTTCGGTGTCCCCTCAGTGTCCCTTCACTGTCCCCCCAGTGTCCCCTCAATGTCCCCTCAGTGTCCCACTCATTCCCTGTCCCCTCTCTGTCCCCGTGTCCCCTCAGGGTCCCCACCCTGGCACTGTCCCCGTGTCCCCCTGAGCTGTGCCGGTGTCCCCTGAGCTGTCCCCTGGCTGTCCCCACTATCCCCCCAGTGTCCCCTGAGCTGTCCCCCTGGCTGTCCCCACTGTCCCCCCGGTGTCCCCTGAGCTGTCCCCTGGCTGTCCCCAGGCGCCATGTCCTCCACGTCACAGAAGCACCGGGACTTCGTGGCGGAGCCGATGGGGGAGAAGCCGGTGGGGACCTTGGCCGGGATCGGGGACGTGCTGGGCAGGAAACTGGAGGAGAAGGGCTTCGACAAGGTGGGGACAGCTGGGGACACTTGGGGGGACATCAGGGACATCTGGGGACATTGGGGACATCTGGGCATACCTGGGGACATCGGGGAGATCTGGGGACGTTATCTGGGTACATCTGGAGACAACAGGGGACATCTGGGGACACCTGGAGACATCAGGGGACATCTGGGGACACCTGGAGATATCTGGGGACACTTGGGGACATCAAGGGACACATGAGGACATCAGGGAAAGGGTTTGGACAATGGGGACACTGAGAAAGGACATGGACGAAGACGTTCCCAGGGGGTTGGGGAACACTTGGGGACATTGAGGACACCTGGGGACATCCCCAGGGCTTTGGGGACATCTCCAGGGCTTTGGGGACACTGAGGAAAGGCTTGGACAAAAACATTCCCAGGGCTTTGGGGACACCTGGGGACATCACCACAGGTTTGGGGACCCCTCCAGGGCTCTGGGGACATCTCCAGAGCTTTGGGGACATCTCCAGGGCTTTGGGGACATCTCCAGGGCTCTGGGGACACTGAGGCAAGGCTGGCACAGCGGGACCCCGCTGGGGAGGGGTCCCAGGGGAGCTGCTGGGACCGGGGGGGTGGGACAGGAGCCCCCGGGGGAGGCTCAGGAGGCTCAGGGAGGGGACACCGGCGATGTCCCCAAGGCCGGGGTGACACGGCTGTCCCCGGGCCAGGCCTACGTGGTGCTGGGGCAGTTCCTTGTGCTGCGCAAGGACGAGGAGCTGTTCCGGGAGTGGCTCAAGGAGACGTGCGGGGCCAACGCCAAACAGAGCCGCGACTGCTCGGGCTGCCTGCGCGAGTGGTGCGACGCCTTCCTCTGAGCCCCCTCCCCA